CAATTGCGTCCATGTATTTCTCTTTTTTCCGTGAAGTCCCTGTAAGCTCCTTCAGGGTGTTTACCGGCCCCCAAAAGTCCCCAATGTCCCCGATTATCCCCGATTTTGGAAGAGTGTCCTCGATATCCCCGAAAGTCCCCAATTTTCTTGTTCCGGTCCCCAAAAAATGACAAAAATCCTTGTAAGCACCGGCATTTTCAAATTTTCCTGCCAGCCGCGGCGGCGCGGTATAATCAAGAATACAAAAACTGAAGTGTTGCTTGGTTTTTCGTATTATTCATCGGTTCAACATGACTTGTTAAATTAGTTTTATAAGATACGCCTTTTCTCTTACTATTTCGGGGAAAAAAGTCGCCGATCTTCTTGAAAATACACCCCTAAAAGTCCCCGAAAGTCCCCAATTTTGGTTTTTCATAACTATGGTAGACACCCTGCTAACCCAAATGTTGCAGTACAACCACAATTAATTGGAAATGCCCGTATCATCGAACAAGTTGGAGTCGTACCACAATTTTAAGGGGTAACTGCTGATACTTTTTTTTCCGAGTAGACTTGACAAAGAAGCAAAACTGGATCCCGATGGTGTGTATCATAAGTTGCAGCGAAAGGTCATCGGTGACCGTTGACCGGATTAGCAGAAGAATCAAACGATCCACGAAGGAGTGGATACCTCTTCACTCTCGAGTTGGTCTCGAGTGATGGATTAGCCCGCTATTTCGAGTATTAATCGGAATCATAATCGATGCAACGAAAATTATGAGGAAAGATCGGACCCACTGCGCCAGTCATCGGGCCCCTTGCTGCGTGTTTGGTTTTAACGTGACATCGCCCCGTGGAATGCGATAATGAGATTTGGATGCAGCTGGGATTCGCCATTGATTCATTCGTGTGATCCTTTGTGAAATTTTGCATCCGGGAAGTCGCTACTCCGTCCATGTGCTCAAGCGAAAGTTTCTCGAGGTCATGATCAGTCGGTACGGCACTTGATCATAGCCGAAGCTTTTTTCATCAATTAAAATGAGAATAATCCATACAGGGTATGCAAACATTTCAAAACCATGAGTTGAGTAACGTTGACTCCGCCAGATTAAATGTTAGAACCTAACACAAAGCGGAGCGGCGACGCACTGGCGCCTACAAACCTAACAGGGATACTTCACGCACTGCGCAACGCGTGAAGTATCCATCCCTGCTAGGTTTGTAGGCGCCAATGCGCGGTTCGCGCTGGCTGCCCGCCTGCCGCGCCGCAGCGTGCCACGGCGCTTGAAGCAACTATTTCACACCAGAGGTATTGCACAGTATGATACGGAACTGAAAGCGCTCTAATATATTAGGAATGGCAGGCATCCATAAATACGGTGCTTTCCTCGCAAAATAAATCAAGATACTACGGCCCAAAAAGATAGCAGTAGTCCAAAAACTCACCAAGTCCTAGCATCTGTAATTAGTAACGTTTAGCATACACTTTATCGCTTGGCCGATGGCCGTGAGTTGCTTAATCGCCATCGGCTATTAAAGGCTATAAGAAATTGTGTAGCCGGCTATAGAAGCTCTTGGAATAATCAAAAAACACAATTTTACTTCTGCTCTAAAATTTTTCAAAATCATAGGAAAAAGCTTCAAATTTGACGAAAAACTCACTCGTTTTACTTCAGGCATACCAGCAAGTTCAGATGCGGCTCCAGCAATTTGACAACACCGTTTTCCCTCCATTCAAACCTATGTTAAATAATCGATCCTTGTCGGAGCACCTGGTCCCTCAAAGAAGCGATACTTTTCCATGGGTTTAAATGGAGAAAAACAACGTTGCCAACTTGCTGGTTCCGCAAATGCCAGGAAGAGTACACGATTGATCGGCGAAAAAATGTATAGAGTTATACAGATGATTTTAGATCCTCGACAATCATCTATTCACGAAAGAGTAATGATTTATCATCGAGCGATGATTTGTCATAAGGACGGTTACGAAACTTAACGGAGCATACGCGTCGCGAACATTTTTCTCCAAGTTGGCGCTGTCGCTCGGGATGTTGCGATTGTTATTATGAGTCACCGGGAGATCTTGCTTGGCATGAACATCACGTCACACTTGTCGCACAATTCCTTGACGCGGTTGTCGCTTCCAGTGGCGCGGCGTGGCGTACTTGCGGCGATGTATCAATTGATCTGCTATTTAACCCCATCGGAAAAGGATCGATAAACAGGGTGTTCGCAATGTAGATCGCGTATGCAATAGACCACTAGTAACGCACCTTTTACCGAGTCAATCCTACTTTTAAGTGCCTTCATTTTTCAGGATACTTCACGCATATCCGGGAAGTTAAAATAGTTGTATGTTCACCGCAGTAATTAGAACCCAGTACAAAAATGTAGTGCACTGAAAAAAAATTCCCGGCATTTTTACGAAGGTCCGTTGGTACCTTTACCATCTCATTTTTTTACCAATTATTGGTAATTTTACCAAGACAGACTGGTAAGCTTATCTAAAAACCGGTATTTTTACTGTTTTTTCCAGGTAAGAATACCACTTTTATTGGTAATCAATTTCCCGGTAACTTGGCCATTTTATCTCGTTAATTCTACCACAGTCGATAAAGAATATTGGCGTTTTTGCCAAGGTCCAGTAAAATTACCGAGAAAGTTCAAAAATTTTACCGAGATTTCTCAGTAAAAGTACCGATTCCATAAATGGTAATTTTACCAAGAAAAAACTGGGATCAAATAGAACCCTGAATTCTTGGTAATTTTACCCTTTTCTTAGTAAATACACCGACATTTTTTTTTCAGTGTGGACAACTGGATAAAGTGCGAATCTATGCTTTACGGAATATCATTTCCATTCGATTTTAAAATCGAATCGATTTTGTCCCGAAAATCAAATAGATTTCGAGAAAATCGCCATCCCAAGTGAACGAATCCCTAAAATGCGACCACTTTTCTGTTGATTCCGGGGTCGAACGGCAACAGCGTTGTCACCTTGTTCCTCGTTCCGGTCTTTTCAATCGAAAGCAGCTCCGGCGCACAGTGGACCGAGTCAATTAGAGAGGTCGGACATGAAATTCATGACTAAAACTGCAAATTTTAATGTTTAATTCGTTACATTTTATATTGTAAGGGGTGCTTTTAACGAAAAATTTCACGAGGAAACCAATGGAACCACTTTTAGAACCTCAAAGTTTTGTGTAAACGGAATTATAAGCGTTTAAAGTTTCCAAATATTGTCCGACCTCTCTAATCGACTGGATCCACTGTGCGACGTGACGGGACGGGGAGTCCGACCTCCACCTTTGCTCCTTTGATTCGCCGACCGAGGAATCGCGGATCCAGGCCCAAGGGCACTAACTATATCACTTACAGTCACCAGTCAATCCTCACCTCAACGCCGGAAAACGGCTCTGGCCTCTGGAAATTGTCCTCTATGCACCGCAGAATGACTTCACTCCACACCGCACTTGCACATGCACTCACTGTCCATCGACCCACATCCATTAGAACGCCGTATATCGTAACCTTCCAGCCCAAGTATTGCAAGCGCCATGCGACGTTTCAAAATTTCCAACGCCATTTTCGGAGTTGTCATGGTCAAGGAAAACCGGGAAATGTTATGGAAAATGAGGAAAATGTTAGGGTTTGTTAAATCACCTTCATTTGCTTTCTAGAATGGGTTTGAGGTTTCGAACAACAAATTTTGCCTGAAAACTATTTTCAATTATGCCATCTTAACCATCCGTCACATCTTCAATCGTCAGGGAATTCCACCAAAATGTGTCAGGGAAATCAGGAAAATGTCAGGGAATTTCATTTTTTTAATTCTGTGGCAACCCTGCAAAGTTTGCAATGCACTCCTAACTTTATAATCTGCGTAAGAAATGTTTCCAACGCCATTTTCAGGGTTGTCACGGTCAAGGAAAACCGGGAAATGGTATGTAAAATGAGGAAAATGTTAGGGAAAATTTGTTAAATCACCTTCATTTGCTTTCTAGAATGGGTTTGAGGTTTCGAACAAGACATTTTGCCTGAAAACTATTTTCAAGTATGCCTTCTTAACCATCCGTCACATTTTCAATTGTCAGGGAATTCCACCAAAATGTGTGAGGAAAATCAGGGAAATGTCAGGAAATTTCATTTTCTAAATTCTGTGGCAACCCTGCACTTTATATTTTGACAGCCGAGAAATTGTTCAACGAAGCTGAACGAAAATTTCACTGAATTTTCTTCGTGCGGTCGACAAAATTCAGTAAAATTTTCGAACAGATTCAGCCAAAAATTTCTCTGTAAAAAAAAAAATGGCGGCGGAAGTCTTTAAACGTCGCATGGCGCCTGATAATTTAATCGGAAGGTGACGGTGTGAGCTTTTGAGCGTTGTCAAGCTTTTTAGGGATGCGGAAAGTTCAAAAACGCTGACCGTTTGCAACCCGGAAAAATCACGGAATTTTGCGAGCAAGAAGTCTGCGTAAACATGCAAGAAAAAACTCAGTGGAAGTTTTGTTAAAGTGTCAGGGAAAATCAGGATTTGGGTACGAAGATTTTAGAGTCAGGGAAAAGCAAAGAAAACCGGAATAAAAAGTTTCTTAGATCCACAGTCTTAAAAATTTAACAAGGAAAGATGCTCTTGATTCAATTGGATTTTTGCTTTAATCGAAAGGAAATCCGCGTAAATTAAGATGCTCTCGATTTAAGCGAAAATCCAATTGATTTGAAAGTATTTCTTCTCGTCAAATTATTTTATGTGCCGGGGCTCTGGATCCAAGAGACTTGTTATCCCAGTGCAGGAAAAGCAAAGAAGTCGGAAAATGAAAAAAATTCCGGAAACCCCGAGGCCGTGAAAATTTAAATGATATTGCAGATATTTAATTTAGCTTTAAAAATTTGATGACAAGGGTGTATTTTAGGAACGTTTGACTGAACATGCTTGATCAAGTTCGACGAAGTTGAATGTTTTGATTTGATCATTGAGTTTCATATGAACGCAGCTCTAATTTTATCTTTTTTTTTCGCAGATCGACAAAAATGGAGACGGTTGGATCGACATGTCAGAGCTGAAAAATGCTCTGGACATGTGCGGGTTCAAGCTGCCCGGCTACAAAATCCGCAAAATGGTCGAGGATTACGACGCCAAGAAGAGGCTCACGCAACCCGGAAAAATCAACTTCTCCGAATTCGAAAAGGTAATAAAAATTATCACATCCTAATTTGTGAACGCTTCTGTGAAAAGGAACCTTATGTGCCCCAAAGTTTAGAGTTATTTGTTGTATGGACTTCCTACGACTCAAATTCTACAAAAAATCGAGAGTTACAAACCAACAAATTTAAATATGTTAAAGCCGAAGACGAAAAATCCGTGCCGAAGTCAGTGAAAACGAAAACGCACAAACTCGGAAACTTAATATGCCCGGAGGGCCTGTTGCAAACTTCAAGTAGAGCAAATAGAAGAGTAGGATCTTATCGAAAAAAGCTAAAAAATCACGACAAGCGCATTAGGAAAGTCTAAAATACACTTCTAATTACACAATCTAAGTAAGAATTATGCGCGTCTGAAAGTTGGCGTCGGCCATGTTGAACATTGTGTAGCATCCTAGTGCGCAAGTGTTGAATGGAACGACTCCGCTTACGATTTTTTCACTTGCGCCGTAGTGTCGTTTGAAGCGGAAAACTTTAAAAAACGCCTATTTCTTACGCAGATTGTGAAGTTAGGAGTGTATTTGAGACTTCTCTAAAGCGCTGATTATGATTTTTGAGCCACTTTCTATATGAGATTGAGACTTCTCTAAAGCGCTGATTATGATTTTTGAGCCACTTTCTATATGAGAAACCACTCCTCTTCTTGTGCTGGCCGAAGTTTGCAACACAAGCTCATTGCTGGTCATTAAAAGTGGCGCATCTATTCGAGCTTGGGCCTGAAAGTGTTATTGAGTACTTGTCCTTGCTTAGGCATCAAAAGGCTTTTTCCTATGCTAACTTCTTCATGAACTATCCGCATAGGCGGATCCAGGGAGGGTTATAGGGGGCGTACGCTACCCTCGTTCGCCCCAAAAAAAGGAGGAAGAATGAGGGATGAAAGAATAAAGGAAAGGAACGGAGGAAAAGAGAAGGAAGGACGCTTATATTTAGTAATTATTCATGACAAAATGACTCAAACTGCATATTAGATGCGCAGGGTGTCTACAAATCCGGAAAGTCGGGAAGTAGTACTGATTTTTTAAGGGCGGTCCGGAAACACTGATAAAGTGCGGAAATTCTGCAAGAAGGTCCTGAATTTTTTCATTTCTATATGTCATTTTTGTCGCAAATTGAGCGAGAAATTCAAACATCAAAAGAATGTACCGAAAAAGTACTGAATTTTTCTGTTGAGGAGACATTGACCTTCTTAGAAATGCACTGGAAAAGTACTGATTTTCGGCCAGCCCGTTTTAGTAGACACTCCGGATGCTTCAAGATTCGGAAAATTTGCGAGGGGACCCTCCTTACGCCCCCCGTTCCATGTGTCTGGATCTGCTCATGATCATATGGACTGCATTTTGCTAAAAGGAACCAAGAGCATTGCAATGTTGCTAAGATTGTGCAACTTCTCTTGTCTTGAAAGAAAAATCTGGTCATCTATAAACATTTTCTATTTCACACGCTAAAAATTGTAAATTTAAGACCGAAATCACCATGTAAATTTCATATTTTTGCATGATTTCAGTAATTTTATTGCAAAAGGTGAAGTCGCACAATCGTAGCAACATGGCAATGCTTCTGGTTCCTTTTTGTAAAATGCAATCAATATGGTTTTATGTGTCTCATCAGAACAATTTAATTTTTCCAAGTTGGGGTGTTTTCATTTTCACTGATTCTATTATGTGCGTAAGTGCAAGCGCTAACGCCGATCCCGGCGGCTTTGCAAGACCACAAACTTCACTGTCAGTGAATGCGTAGCATGCATTATTTCAACCTCGTAAATGGACGTATTTCTATCAAACGGAACTATGTGCATTAAGACATGAACCCTGAGACCCATTAGAATATGTGCATAGCAGGGCTCACGTCATAATGCACATAGTTCCGTTTGATAGAAATGCGTCCAAATGGCCGATCGAGGAACTGAATATCCGGCGCCGGGAGCGAGGATGTCCATCTCTCCTTATCTCGAGCCGCCTTATCGGGTTTTATCAGTTCCCTCACTTTTATGGCAGCGGATCTCAACCGGTTTTTTTTTCCTTTTCTTCTTTCATGCAGTCATTTCAGTCTATTATATTCTTGACAAAAAAAGAAGAAAAAGAAACGCGTCTCGACTGACCAGATATGTACTTAACCGTACGGCTCGTTGCTGAAGGTGGCAATAATGATTTTTTTAGCACGTCTCCGGCTATAATTGCGCTTGTCATGTGCGGGAGCTATTTCAGAGCGCAGGCAATCGAGACTGTAAATTATGCTCTAATGATGAGAAGCTCAGCACCCATTTTGGATTCTTATTAATGGGTCCCCTTTACCGAAAAAAAGAGAGGGAGAACTAGAAAACGATTATCGTAAAATTACCCCGCGCGTCAAATTAAAGTTTTTATTATGAAGAGGAATTCTTTTGAGGATTTGTGCTTTCTAAATCGTTCTTAAGGTGCGGCATTTTTACGTCGGAAGGAGGAAGGAAGATCATCGGGTGAAAAAATGATTAGGTATCCTGGCATTATATAAATCCTATAAAAACAATCGGTCCACCAAGAATTCACTATCTTAGAAGAAACACAGGAAATAAGCGAGTATATGGCTGAACAACAAGGATAAAAAATAGCGGTAATGGATACCAGACTGTCTGGTTATCTATGATCATCAGAAAGTTTAGTCAGTATCCGATTGAAATCAGTAAAAGTTCACTTCATTGGCACAATAGGCAACGCTGGAATTAGGTTACAGTTCCAAGCAAAGCGCCTTTTGTTAGTGTCGCACACGATGGATACCAAACGAATTTCATCACGGCGCCTGGATGCAACTATTCGGGCTTAATGGATGTCCGTGTTGCATACGCACGGTTTTGAAGGCGTTTTGACTGTCCGTTCAGGCATTCACCACTTTATACCCGCAGTCGGCGCGGCTCCTACGGCGGGCTTTACTGCGAATATCCAAAATGGCAGAGCACCTTCAATTCTTCGTTTTTATCACTAAGACATTTCTTAGACATGAATAGTTGCATACAGGCGTCGGGTGGGATATTTTATGCTTCAGTTTTTATATTGCGATGTGCTGAGCATGAGTGTGCATTGATTGTTGAATTGATTTGTATGCATTGATTCGATTCATGTCGGAGATGTCTTCGAAGTATAAATGGACGTATTTCTGCTAAAAGGAACTATGTCTCTCGCAAACCTTACGCACATGGTTCCTTTTGGCATAAACACGTCCAAATGAAGAAATGAAGGCACTCTGTTATTTTGACGCATTTATGCCAAAAGGACCTATGTACACAGAGATTGCGTGCAACATATTTCCTTTTAGCATAAAAACGTTCACTTCAGATCCTCGCAGAAAAGCCCGCCGCACTATGAAATAAGTCTTTCAGAGAGATTGGACATCAAATTTTCGACTAAAACTGCAACTTTTGATGTTGATTTCTTCGCAACAAAAATTGCATGGGGTGCTTCTTGAAGGTAATTTTACGAGAAAATTAATAAAACAACTTTTAAATCCTCTACATCCTGTATTAACTTCGACATGAGCTTTTAATGTTTCCACATTTTGTATGATTTCTCTCATCGACTCGCTCCACTAAGCGCCGCTGGTGAGGCAGTAAGTGTCTGAAGTCAAAACGCCTTCACTTTCGTGCGTATGCAACACGGGCATCCAAGGAGCCCGAATAGTTGCATCCAGGCGCTATAATGAAATTTATTCGTTCAGTATCCGTCGTAGGCGGCACTGACTAAAGCTGCGATTGTATCTCTTACATCTGGACTTATTTTCAGCATTGCCCATTGTGCTGATGAAGTAAACCGTTGCTGAATTTTATCGCGACTTCGTCAATTTTCCGAGAAATGCATTATTTAAATATTTCACAACATTCTGGCCTTCAAAATCGCAAAAAATGAAGCACTTGAGCATGACATTCAGAGTTTCCTTTAACCTATTTTCATGAGTCATTCATCGTTCGAATTTTTTCAACCCTTTGGGAAATCTAGACGTTTTAAGGCGGAATTCGGAACAACAACAATGACCATTCGTGTTTCGGAAAAATGCAATGCGACGGGAAATCGGTAACATCACAAGCGTGAATACAATTTTCAATGGCGAAGCTGTAGCATAATGAAGCCTGGTAAATATCCCACTGAAAATTATATTGTGTTCTGCTCTACCCCTCCTGGAATGCGGGCTGCGTCCATTAGTGTTAAAATTTTCGCCAGATTCCATTATGCCCTCAAAGTTGGATGACCGTAATCAGTGGCATGGCGTTCTTTGCGATATCAGTTGCTCTGCCATTTAAACCTATATGGGAAAGTATCGATAAGCAGGGTGTTCGCAACGAACACCTCAAGAATCGAGTCTTTTCCTCAGCTTCAAATGGGGAAATATCGAAAATCGACCATTCACGCCACGCCACTGGTCGTAATGTCGTCTTCGTTCATGAAGATGAGGCCCGCTTTGCTCTTTGGCGACGGCCTAAATTAAATGAATACCTTGCCCTCGTTCTTCTTTCTTCTCCTTGTCTTGTCCGAAATCGTCTGAAGCAATGAAGAGTGGGTGTCGAGATGAAGCGATGAGACTGCCGAAAGAGCAACGAAATCAATCGTGCTTTAAGAGCCGATTATCCGTGGTGGCGGCAAATACAAAGTCATGAACTCATAATCAGTGCTTGTAATAATTGTGGCTTGTTGTCACATTTCAGACAAAAGCAGTGTTTCTCAAAGGAAAGTTATTATTCTCGCTAGTAAGGTAGTATATTTAAGAAGTAGGTCAGTTTCATTACGTCATGAATCTGGGTCTTTACGTACTTCATTTCGTGAGAGATCTAAGTCCTTAAAGTTTTAGAATACAAATATAGTGTCCATTTTAACTCCAGGGGCAGGTGTTCGAAGGTCCTCTCCAGTGGCGATTTGTTGGGAGGTCTCGGTTGGGGGAAGGGAAGGGGAGCACATTTTAAGGAGTACCACCATGTCTTGTTACCTTTAAAAGTCGAGGGAAGATTAGGATTACGGACACTGAC